TCACTAAAGGTCCAGAGAAGTCCTGCACGAAGCCCATTAACTTAGCTTGACTCCATGTTTCCCGGTAGGCTGCTGGCTGTCGAGTGTGTTTTAGACAATAGCTACTGACAGCTCGTGTGGTGAGAGCTCTGCTGGACAACGTGGAATACCTGAAATCTCACACCATTCCTCTCTCTCCCACAACATGCACGTTAATATCATACATAATTTCCACATATATCAAGATTGACTGATGAGCAAACTGGTTAATGGACCGTGGTATTCTCTGTCCCATCTTTTAGCTCAGTGTGTTCAATCATGTCTACATAGCTAAAGCCACCTGAAAAGCTTTTAAAATATATCAATGCCTGGGCCCTACTCCAATTTAATGGATTAGGGGTCAGGCCCAGACATCAGCCTTTTTACAAAAGCTCCCCAGTTAATCCCAGGGTGCAGCTAGGACTGCAGATCCCTGTCTAACGCCTGCGGCTCTGCCTTCAGCCGGAGTCAGCTTTAATTAATCTTCCACTTTAATTCTGCGATGTATATGTCATGCTCTATTATATTTTTGTTTCGGATATATTTCACTGAGTAATAAAAATAAAGGGAGAACAGTTGGTGAAAATTTACTCAAGGAATTAAGTTTGTCATTGATACAAGTGACGGGCCATCTGGATACTCAGGGAACTTCTGCTACCAAAGAGAGTTTTCAAGGGGCGCGTGCTTTTTATTATTAAACCTGTTAGCGATGTGCATAATGTACAAGGCATGCATTTTAATTAGACAAGGGTGCATGCTAATCGAGGAGCTCCTTGGTAATGGTTATCACTCATGAATACTTACGCGTTCACCCACATTCGAGTCTGCTCTGAGGAGTACCTGGCCGTCCAGTGCAGCCCAAGCACAAGGCCCATGGGGAGAGCTGAGAAGCAAAAATAATGGTGGTTTTACTTTGAAGTCAGGGACTTGCTCAGTTAGTGCTACCAATTTGTGCTTCTAAACACATAGACTAAGGTGCTGGCAAGTTCCTCCTGATTGTTGGCCCGTACCCACGTGTACTCATTGCCACACAGACAGTGGAGAAAGTGAACCACGCACTAGTGAGTTCTGGCCACCACTTTGGTCACCATTTGGTTGGTGAAATGCCTTTGTCCAGCTTTCCAGCAGGTAGCTGGCTTGGAATGCTGGCCCATGTCATTAACCTTAGTGACATTTGCTGGCAGCTTTGAAGTTCATGTCCCAAATGGAACTTCTTTATTTTAACTTTGAGTGCTTTGACCAACTTGCCAACCCTTTGGTAAAACACGTCGATGTGCACGTTACATTTTGAAGGATTTTGAAGAACCTCCTGCCTTGAACTGCTCATGTTTCCAGAGAGTGAGCTTCCCTCTCCCCTGCTACACACACAGACGCCGGCTGAAGTCCCGCAGGTGCCACTGTAATGGGTGCCACAAGCTGCAAGACAGCCGCCTGCAGGCTCCATTCTCTGCAGCAGGCTGGGATGTTCCCCGAGGGATTTTACCAAATTCTGTGAAGGTTTTCCTTTTCTTCAGAATACAATAAGATGTTCAGGTGTCTTGTAAAAGTCACCCTGTGCCACAAAAATGAATGGCCACCTGGCATTGCGGCTGAAAACGTCACAAGTTCAAGACAGCGGCTGGAGGTCTTGTGAATCACTTTGACCAGAGCATGAAACTCTGCCAAGGCACCCTTCATCAGGTGGGCCCTTGGTCAGACTCCCAGCCACCTAGACAGTCACGCACGTCGACTACTCCAGGCCCAGCGCTTGCTCCCTGATCAGCCTGGGTGCTAAGGCACCTCGTGCCCAGCACGTGGTACAGCACAGCTGCAGCCGGTGCCGAGGCAGAGGGCAGACTTGGATTTTCTTAAAGGCCTCCGTATGTTGTTTGATCTCAGAAAACTTGAGGTGTTGCAATTGTTTAGCTCACATCATCAAAGAGAATAATTTCCAGTGGTTGCATTCCAAGGGAGAAATTATTTATTTTTCATACATTTATGGTAAATATTTCACACCAAATTTTAAAGCACTTAATATTCCTTAGCAATAAAATTACTTCAGCATCGGAGAATTTTAACAAGCTTTTAAATTAAGGTAATGTATCACAATATCACATTTGAAGCAAAGTGAAATAATTTTGATCTTTTACAATAATTTTCAAAAATTTTTATTTTCATTTATAATTACTTTGTAATTATTTCATTTATAATTATTTTCATTTATATTAATTTAGCAGAGGGATACTATTGTGGACAGTGTCTACATAATTTTATAGACTATGTTTTGTCTTTCTGAAACCACCACTAGTGATTTATATTCCATAAGATAAATATGGAAACTGATCCAAAAATCTGCGTCTGTTTGGTATCACTTCCTTCTGATGGAATCATACAAGGGAATTAATGTGCTAAATTGTATCAGTTACAAGAAAGAAAACATTTTACCTGATACACTGAAACCCTGAATCCTTCCCTCTGCCAGCTGTAGCTCCAAATCCACTGGACTGCCCATATTTTTGAGTTTACCTTACAAACATTTAGCTTTAATGACATAAAGAACTTCCAGCTTTGAGTATATCCCAGGAAAACTAGTTTTCAAAGAGAAGAGAGGAAAAATGCTAGTTACCACTGACGCAACAAGATAGAAAATTCTAGAAGTGCCAGTGCCCATGGATGGGGTGTAGGGGAGAAATTGGTGGAAGCGGTGAGTGGGGGTGGGTGTTCAAGTCTAAACAAACCCTCCTGAGTCCTTCAGGGTTTAAATGCCCGTAGGAGAGCAGCAATGTGGCGTGGTTCTTAGGTCTTGTGCTGTAGCAGATTGCATTCGGGAAACTCATTCAGTCTACAGAAATTCACTTAATGCTCATTGTGCTGACACCGTCTTATACCATGAAATCAGAGATGCAAGAAAAGCGACCAGTAAGAGTTATAGTCCTGAAGCCATCACTGGAGCAGAGAAGAATCGTTGTATTGCGTGGGTGTCAATGTAGGGCATTTAGATCTTATTTTAACATAGTTACATCAATTAATATTTCATTTAGTGTATTTCTACTACACTATCATTCTTTACCTATTATCTTAATAATGAAAATAGTTCCCCTGTCCATTCATATTTAAAACAACTCATGTCTGACAAGTCCTAAGAACTTCCCAGCTCTGCTTCAGTTGGGGCTCCCCATGTGGTCTTGCATGACATCCCCCTGTGTCTGAAGATGCAGATGCTGTCTGCACCCACACATTGAATTCTGGTTCTGGCAAGAAGTGGAGAACAAAGCTTTAGAGCAGGTCAACACAGTCTAGTGACACACTGTCTCAGCCTTTTGACCAACACTCTGGCTTCTGATAGGTTTGTTCCTTGGGGAAGTTTTCCTCTGAGACTTTTCATACCCCTAGATTACCGTGACCTCCTACCCTCTCCAACAGCTGAGACACTGCCCCCTTTCCATCTGTGTGCATGCGTTTCTCAATCATTAGCAGCCACACAGCAGGCACAGACAACTGTATGGAGAATTAGATCCTCCTGGGGTCTGTCACCTGGGCGGGGGGATTTGTCTGGCTAACTGGGGCTGGGACATGGGGATTACTACCACAAGGGCTAGTGAAAGGATGTCTCCCACTAGGGCAGAACATCCTTCAGGGACGTCGGGCTTCCAGGTCGTGTGATAACACCGGATCTGGGGGGCCTGGGGTACAGGGAGATGAGGACCCAGGGAGGTCTTTTCCGGGGAGTCTCTGGTGACTGTTTCTTATGTTCTGTATGAAAGCTCTGGCATTTCTTCATAGGGACCCAGGAGCTGTCGTGTCAAATAGGATCCTAGATGTTGTTCCTTTCTGACATCCTTTGAAATGTTTCTCAGCTGGGTTCCTCATTATTTATAGTGAGTTATTGACACTGGATGTTTCCACCTGGTCTTTGGACTTGATCTAGTGTAATGCAGCAGCTCAGGGGACAGGTGGAGGAGCATGAGGGTCTGTGAGACCCAGTGAGCCCCCTAGGAGTGGCTGTAGGCAGAGCCTGGAGCGAGCCCCAGGGCTGTGACCTGGAGTCCTCCGCAGAAGGGGCAGGAAGGGGGCCAGGAGCAGGTGGAGGCCGGAAGACTGCCCACCAGGGTTCCAGGGAAACAGGAGCCAGCTCTGTCACACGTCGCTAGGGGTCAAGAAGAATGGATACTGAGCCGCAAACACTGAATTCAAAAAGGCACACATCAGTAGTGACTTCCAGAAAAGATCCGTAGGGACAGAAGATGTATTAGAGTAGTTTAAAGAGAGGATGAGGGTAGAAGAATTGGAAATGTAAGTAGAAACACGTCTTTTGTGATTTTTTTTTTTTAATACAAAAGGAAGCAGAAAAGTGGGAAAGGGCCTGGAAGAAGTAAGATCTCATTTTGGTTAGAATTCAGTTTATTTTCTACTTTTAAAAATTAAAGGACTTTTTTTTTTTTTTTAAAGAAATTTAAGACTTTGGAAACATTTGCTTCCTGGTGGGAATGTTCTGAGCAGGGGCAGCGGACAGTTGGAGGAGGAGTTTGTCAAGAACCCTGTCTTTCAGTGAAGCCTAGAGGCTGTGAGCTCTGGAGGAAATCCAGTTCACTGTCACGCGTCGCCAGCGCACAAGAAGTGAGGCACGCAGGAAATGCTCGCTCCCTGGCATCTCACGCCAGACCTGCCTGTGTCTTCGTTTGTTGGCGAGAGCCCAAAGATATTTTCCTTTTGGAACTATTTCTCCAGTGCTCATCTATGTTTGCGATTCCCCTTTATAAGTCAATGCTGTAATTATGCTCCCTGTTTTTAACCTACTCCCTTTAAGTTGAGCAGTCAGGCAGAGGGTGCCAGAGGATACCTGTTGGACCCAGGCTTCTCAGCCAGGCTGCAGGCTTCATCTCGACACACTAAGTGGTTGGAATGTCCCTGAGTCCATTTTTCAGCAGTCTGAAACTGTGTCATTGAGCGAGTGGGCTGCGGGACGCGTTATCTTGTGTATTGTTCTCTTCTTCCCACAATAGCTTTGTGTCAACATGACCAATGAGAAGATACACCACTACATCAATGAAGTGCTTTTCCTACAAGAGCAGACAGAATGTGTACAAGAGGGGGTTACTATGGAAACGGCATATTCTCCTGGTAACCAGGCTGGAGTTTTGGATTTCTTTTTCCAGGTATTCATATAATATAATTAGATACTTACCAGCATACAGGCATTTAAATGTACTGGAGACAGATTTTCCTTCAGAAGGCCTTGAATTTGAGCTATCTTTACATATGAGATGCTGCAATGTATTTATAATCTTTCAAAACCTATTGAGGAGCACAACGTGTCTTTTTCTGAAGGGGCATTTGAAAGAACACAGATTCATTGGAAGGACAAGAAATATCAGAACATTTTGATATAAAAATGTTCTGTATTTTGTACTTCCATGACTAAATTCTCAGCAGTAAAGAGGACAGTGCATAAAACCAGTTTTTCCGCAACATAATGTCTGTGATTCTATGATTAATGACACAATAACACAAATTTAACATAATTTTAAAATTTATCTCCCAAGTTCATAAGACTTAAATTTGGAACAATTGGCAGGACAGGTACATGGGCACGTGTCTGTACTCCACTAAAACCAGGAGTCTGAGGGCCTTGCAGGGGTGTGTCCCCAGCATTGCCTGTCGACTTACAGGAAGAGCATGGCACTCCGTGTCTCTGTCCTATCAGTGAAAACCTGTCAGAGGAGCAGAGTTCCTGTCCCAGCAGGAAGACGTGACATGGACTCATCCGCAGTCTCTCTCAGATACCTCAATGCCCCTTCAAACAGGCCACGCTCAGCTATGTGCAGAGCAGCGTTCCCTTTCTACCTTCTCTCACTGAAGGTCGGTGTCCCTGTTACGTCACCCTGTCCCTTTTCCTAACTCTGCAGCACTCTCCTCCCTGCTATGACAATGTCAGGGCTGCTGACCTCAGAGCTCTGTGAGGGGCGGGGGCCCACCGTGAGCACAGGCAGAGGTGTGTTCAGGTAGAGGCTGATTTCTCTTCCGAGGGTCTGGGTGAAGATGGAGGGAGGTGAGCACTGATGGAATCCTCCCTCTCTTCCTGCTTTCAGAAGCCGTCAGGATTGCTCTCTTTATTGGATGAAGAAAGCCAAGCGATTTGGTCCACAGAACCGAACCTTCCCAAAAGGCTACAGAACCTCCTAGAATCATCGAACACAAATGCCGTGTACTCCCCCACGAAGGATGGGAACGGCAACGTGGCCCTCAAAGGCCAAGGTGCGGCGTTCACCGTCATGCACTATGCAGGAAGGGTAAGTGGATCACCGTGGGGTTGGTGCGGCCCTGTGGACCAGAGCCCAGGCCAAGCCCGTGGGCTCCTGCAGCACTCAGGTGCGTTGCTGGGTGGTGCTACTTTCCTAAGCTAGTTGTTTTCCCTCTGGTGAGGAGTTAACTTCTTCAGGACAGTGCAGGTGCTCCGCACGAGGACCTGATCATGTCATTACACAAGTACAGGAGCCCTGGGCTTGAAGAGCCTCCGCTGTGAACTCCAGGATATTCTCATAACGCAGACAGACTCTAGGCCTCTGAGCCTTCTCTTCCTGAGTGCGCTTCCTAGCACTGAGGGGTTTTCCTCGGAGCCTGTTACCACTCCTGGTCCTGCAGCCAGGCTCCTAAGGCAAGCTGCTCTCCCCAACACCCTGGAGGACGTCCTTGGGCCTGGATCACGCTCCTCCATCTAGACCAGCGTCAGGATGTCCCTGGCTGAGGGCATCTTTGCCCAGCCAGGGCTTTCTTTGCGAGACCTCCACCGAGGTCATTTTTCTAGTCCACTCCCAGTTTTCCTGCACCCCCACCTTCACACTCCAGATGAGGCCCCTCCTTGCCTTCCTAACAAGATCAGGTTCTCTCCATGTTTCACTATATAAATCCACTCCCATTTATGCTCCATCCAGCTCCCATCTGCAGTTACTGTCTCTCTGCTTCGGGTTTGTAGCCATCTACCCACAAGTGACACCGCCACTTACTACCACCTGGGTACTGCAGGGAGGACTCCCTAGTGACCCTGCAGTGTACCTCAGTCACATCCACTGGTGCTCACCGAGACTGCTGTTCACCAAAGGAGGAGCATTAGAGGGTCCAAAATAGTCCTTGCATCAGAAAAGGGAAAGCAAATTAACAAACACCAAAATGCGGATATGATTATGATCTTTTTAAAATTATGTATTCCCATGGAGAAGGAAGCAGTCATTTGGCCAAAAATGTAGAAATGTTTTCTAGAGGAGTTATGATATGACCCAGGCCCACTAGTGTTGGTTAACGCTCGCTCACTAATTACAAAGAGGGGGACATTTCGGGAAGACATTGGATTGTGAAAGTGGGCGCCATTCGTATTGCTTAGGACTCAGTGGCACAGGACAGAATCCACTGTAGCTGTTTTCTCTGTCTTCTTCATTGTAACTATTTAAGCAGAAAATTAATCAGCACAAGAAAACATTGTTGGGAGACTCTAAGTTGAATTTTCAGAAGTGCTCCTGGACTGGTGCAGTGGCCCATGCCTGTATCCCAGAGGCTCCGGAGGCTAAAGCAGGAGGATCACAAGTTCAAAGCCAGCCTCAGCAATATAGCAAGGCTCTTAGCAACTGAGAGAGATTCTGCCTCTAAATAAAATATAAAAAAGGCTGGAAATGTGTTGCTCAATGGTTAAGCACCCCTGTGTTTACTTCCCAATACCAAGGAAAAAAAGAAGGAGTACCCCTAAACCACATCTCAGAGCTGAGTCACCAAGGTGTGTGTCTCCAGGTAAACTGAGATGCTGCTGCTGTGGTTTCTGACTCATTTACTGCTGCCACCAACTCATTTGAAACACCCGTACCCTGGCACTCAACATCGAAGACACCAGTGACTAGCCTGTGTCTCCCCAGTGCAGAGCAAGGATGAGTCCCCTGCACATGGGTCACAGAGTGTGACCTACACCCTTCTGCCTTCTAAACCTGGGTGATGGCGCTCAATGGTCGATGCTGAGGAATGGTCAGCTCCCAGATGCAGAGGGTCCCGGGAAGGCAGCTCTCCTTCCAACCTCTGCAGTACAAGAAGGCGAGGCAGAGGGTGGGCACCATGGCTCCACATCCACCCACGTTGAAGGCTTAGAAAGGGGCAATATTCAATTTTTAGACCTTCAGAATCTAAGTGTTTCATGGAAATCTCGAGGTGATACTGGGATAATAGAGGTTGTTTCTACGAACATGCTTTCATGCTTGGAAACATGTTCTTGATTTTGTCCAGGAAGAACAGGGAAAAGGGAGAGAAAAATATTTAAAAAGAGAAATACATCAGAAACCCAGAGGAGCAGAGACTAGCAAGCACACCTGATGGCCAGCAATGAGGCCACGGTGCCCTCCCCAAGAGGCCTCGGAAGTCCCTTCAAGGGGCCCATGGGTGTGGAAAGGAAATTGGTGGAAGATCTTCTATCTGTGTCCCTGGAGAGCTATTAACACTCTCTTCTATTTGAGAGATTTAGGCTTTGCAAGTTCTTGATAAAGATAGTGATTTTTAACCTTACATTCAGATTTTCAATCTATACTTTTCTATGTTAACCATTTATTGAATTTGTATAAATTAAGTAAACATTCTTAATAATATTTAATGATTTCAGAGAAATTCTTTTCCTAAAAGTTTTATGGCAGCTGGGGTAAGTAGTCACATTCTTGACCCACCTTGTAAGCCTGCTTTGTGTATTGGACATGAACTAGATGTTCAATGAATGTTAATTGTGTTAAAATGAGTGAAAATGTGGTTTTAAGTCAGAGCTTTTTGATTATCTTATGTTCAGTTTCAAAAATTATTCTGGGTACAGTAAAATTTTAATTCCAATTGTTTTTGGAAGAATTGATGAGAAACTATCATTTAGTAGTTTAAATTAATAGAATTATTGTAGCAAGTTCTGCTAGGAATGAGGTACAATAGGAACAACAATTGATTTGTTGTTTCTGAGCCAAAGCTCCCCCAGAATCATGAAATTTCCTTTAAAAGTACCTTTATCTTTAAGCAAGTTTTCCATAGTTGAGGCCAAATTTGTGGCGTTGTAAAAATCTTTCATTTCAGTGAGTTGAACTAATGAGTCTGAGCCAAGGGACTCCCTAAGGACTCATTCACAGGTTACTGTATAGATTTTATAATTTGTGGCAATATGTCAAGCCATATGCCATTTGAGTGATCAAAAAGTCCCATACTCTTCAATTTTGAGATGTTGCATTAAAAAAAAAAAAAGCTAACTGCTTATTCTGCATCTCTTGTAAATCAAGAGATGTAGAAAAAGTTAATTGACTTAAAAATCAACATGCAGTGGGCAAAACATTCCTGAATAATCTTTGACAATAAAGTCAGTCCCCGGGGCAGCTCTCCGGTCCCCTCTGCTCTTGAGTTTCTTTCCATCCTCTTGTTTGGCCAGATGGGTGGGTGGAATGGAGCCTCAGCACCACCTGCTCCTCCCCAGGGTTCGCCTGGCCCTCTTAGTGAACACCTCCTACACCTCCTAGCGAGACCTTGCTACAGCCAGTGTTGCTGCTGGCATCCAGCCCCACCTGGGTGCTCTCACCTGTCCTGAGCTCTGCCCGGGAGATCCTGCAAGCTTCTGAGGCTCTTTTGAGCAGAGGCTCAGAGGTCCTTTTAGAAATGTTTAAGCAACATTATTTGAATTACAGTTGAAGATCTTTCCTAAATACATTTGAATTTTTCATTACTCATAGGAGCATGGTGTATTTTCCAATCTCCATTACAGAAATATTTTAAAGTAAATGGGGAGATGCTGTGCATGAAATATTAACCAGGTCTCGTTAATGAGCATGGATTTGAATTAAAGAAGGCTTGTGGGGCTTGGGGGTTTGTTTGCTTGGTTGGTTGCTTGGATGATTATTTGTGTTAGCAAATTTTAAATCATATATGGGATTACCTGTTTTAAGGGTGACTCTTAAGCTGCTGATTTAAATGACAGATAAGCATTAAATCCTAAAAGTATGTCTAATTTTATTGGCTATTAAAATTAAGACTGTTGAAGGGAAGAAGAATTACAGCTTGACAAAGACATTGGCTCTTAGGAGAGTTGAATTTCCATTAAGGTGATTCTAAAATAACTCCAGTAGGAAATAGTATTTTAAAGTTCCTAAATTTTGATGTGAAAAAGTGAGTGGATTAGGAGATAGCAAAGTGACCCGAAATAATAAAAATCAAATTAATGAAAATGTAAATCAAAATTAATAGTTATGTATTATCTGCACTTGCATATATGACCCTTGCTTCTTGTCTGCTCATACATCTTTATCTGGAAGTTATTAAAATTTATTTTAGGATGCAGTTGTTCCTTTTGGGGCTCAAATAAATGTCCCACTGTGATTGGCCTGGGTGATTTATAGATATCAAGTTATCGCTGTTCTTCTAGCTTAAGATGATGGGTCTGTATTTCAGGTCCATTGCTCTCCAGACAGTTATGTATTGTAAAGGTTGAATGGTGCAAACCCGCTTCCTGAAGATATGTCCAGGCTCTCATCCATGAAGTCTGTGACTGTGACCATGTTGGAAAGGAGGTCTCTATATATGTCATCAAGGATTTAAAGAGAGGGTCACCCTCAGTCACGTGGAAGGCTCTACATCCAGCCGGATGTGTCCAGAGGGGAGGGTGAGGGAGAAAGTCACCTGATGGTTGGAGGCAGAGATGGGAGCAGTGCAGCCGCCCCTAGGAGAGCACCTGGGTCCCCAGCAGGAGGAGGTAGAAAGATCCTCCCCTGGGGCCTCCAGGAGCTCAGGCCTGCGGAACCAGGAGAGAATGCATTTCTCTTGTTTTGAGTCACCCAATTTGTGGTTATTTCTTGCAGTGGTCTTAGTGAACAAATGAAGCATTCCTCTGATTCATTCCATGTTATAGATTATGGAAGTAAGCAATTTAAGCTTGAAACATTGTAGGGTTTCTTTTTACATCATTTGATTCATTTCAAGTGACTCCTGCCTGTCTCCTTAGGTTTTTGCTCCTGTGGTTTTCCTCACCTGGAAGTCTCATTGCCCAGTCATTCCAAATCTTGTCCATCCTCCCAAAGATCAAGTTCTTGGCTAATCTAGATTTCATTGATTTCTCCCTGACCTCATCAATAATGATGCCCGATAGCCTCATGCCATTTTACAATTTAAAAAGTACTTCTGAAACGTTTTTTATCTCATCCTTGTATATAACATCTCCACCTCAGTTTTCCTGCAGTCAACTTTGGTGCCTTCAGTGACACCCCTACAGATGGAAAGCTCCATATCAGTCTCCTCTGCCGCC